ATCAAACAAACAGCATCTACAGTAGAGCATCGATTATACGACCCTCGATTAACCGTCGCATCGGTTAACCGACCGTCTACTCGGCAAATCGATCCATCGATCGATTTGAATAACATTTAAAATATTTAGAACAAAATTATTGCTCCCGTCTTTTTGATGACTATAGGTATATTTTCGACTGAGACGTCACACTTGTTTGCATCTTCGCAGCATCTTACTTTCTTTTCTCTACCGTGGACACAGTTAATCCTGGTACCCACATGCGGCAACGGACGACGGAACGGCAAAATGACGTCACTTTTGCCGTCGACGTCGACGGAATACGAAGTTGAAAATTTTCAACTTTTGCCGCGACGGAAAGCGGCACGGTAAAAATTAGACCAATAGGAGGACCGTTTAGCGATGTCGTCATAAAGATCACGTGGGACGATAGCGTTCGAACTATGGCGGTCGGCAAGCTAAAAAGCTTTATTTGTACACTAATACGCTAATATATTTCATTTATACGCTATATTACTATCCGATTTAAATATTAATGTCAAATAGACTTACTGAGAAAAGTATTGAGAATGGAGTAAGCGTAATTCGGCGACTAAGGTATTCGATATTCCTAACTTTCGACGATTTAGAATATTTTTCCTATCCAAATTATTCGTTTTTCAGGTTTTTTTATTTGCAATAAGATCGAAGGCAAACTTAAAAAGTTTAATTGATATAACAAAGCAATCCCGGTAGACGCGATTTTCGACTACTAGGCACGTGGCCTACCTACTGTAGTAGCTTGTTTATATTTACGGCTGGCAGATGGCGCGTTTCAATTGTAGGGTGATTTCCGCATGTGAGTACACAAGACACGGAAAGAAGACGGAACGGCAACCGTTTCCGTCAACGATTTCCGTCGTCCGTTGCCGCATGTGGGTACCAGGCTTTACTGTTGTCACCTTCACTTCCACTGCTGCCGTATTCACCGCCGCCTTGTCCACCTTTTCCGCCACGTCTACCTTTTTCGCCACCTCTACCTTTTTCGCCACGTCCACCTCTACGTTCACCGCCTCTAGATCCACCTTTGCTGCCTTTGCCTCTAGATCCACCTTTACCGGAAACAGCTACATCAGTATTTTCCTCTCCGTCTACTTGAGTAACTGAAAAATTAATAATAGTAGCCTTAAATATAATTTTATATATTGTAGCGAATGTTATAACATCTTAAAAATCCTCATTTTCTGAACAGCAATACAAAATCCTATTTAAAAAAATTACAGTCGACACTGTCGACCCTATAACACTGTTGATAATTCCGTTTTATATGAATTCCATGTTATACGAGTCACATAGATTTTACAAATACGTGTGCCGGGTTGTGAACAGCTCATGTATTTGTAAAATCTAAGTGACTCGTACAACATGGAATTCATATAAAACGGAATTATAAAAGTGTCATAGGGAGGTCGACTGTAATTGAATTGTCCAGTTTAATCAATATGTTTATAATCCAAAGAAAAAATTATACTAAAATAAACGAAACATAAAGTAGGCTTACTTACTCAAGAGATCAATCAACACAATCAAACACAGACAGAGTACGAATTTCTTCATGTTGAACGAAGATAGCTTCTGATCCTTCACCGATTGAAATATTTATACGCTTCGGAATTTTATAAATCTACGTTCCTCTATTTGTTTTATCTACGAAAATCCCATTTATTGGAGCTTCGCGATTAAATTATTTCATTCTGTAAACAAATTCATCCATAGATTTAACCAATGAGAGAATTTATTTGTTAAGCTGTCCGTGGGAATAACTGAAGTACTAATAATTATATTAACACACCTGAATTTTGGCCGAGCATTAAATTATTTTATTTCACAAATGTTTTAAATCTATTTATTATAGGCCATCCTCAGGTCTACGATTACCGTTCCAAAATGGAACGAAACGTTTTTCGAATAAGTTTCATTTTAAATTTAAAGATTTAGAACAATTGTGTATATGAAAAATAAATAAATACAATAAATAAGTAATAGTAAAAATAAAATAAAATAGCATAAATAAATAAATAACCACCCTTTACAAAGCTAAGTATAACTACATTAGAACGTCGTTTATCCGAATCAATTGGGGACGGGTTGTTCGGAAAATCGATGTTTTGGATAACCGATTATATACGAAAAAATATATTAAGGTGACAACCTGCCGCTCTGTGCAAGCCGGGATCGAAATATTCAATTTTTTATTTCGGGGAAAACAAGATTCGTAATATAATTTAATGACAGAAAAGAAATTTATCTACGCTTGTAAGATATTTTATTATTACTCCAATATCACTTTCATAGAACAATTTGTAATTATTATTAATATCATTAAAAATATATTCATTCTTAGTATATAAAACTCCCATATCAAGTTTATTGTTCATTAATAATTCTTCTAGTTCCAGACTCCGATNTTATTATTTTTCACATGATTAATTTTTGTTTTGTTTTAATTTATTTTATTTTATGTTATTCCGTTAATTATTTAATTTTTTTGAATTTATATTCTATTTTGGAATACTTTAGTTCTAATTTCGTTCACAACCTGATGATGGCCTGTGAATCAGGCTGAAAACGTTTGTTTTTATGAAATAAATACTTTCTCGGCAAGGATAAGGTGTTATTTGTATGCTATGAAAACAGTGAAGTTTTAATAAATTTGCGGGATATCCCAGGATGAGAAGAAATTCCCGAGTTAAAAAAACAGCCGGGATCCCGTTGGAGAAACCCTAGTGTGCACTTAACTTGCGCTTTCACAACCAAATTCACAAATAACTTTCACAACTTTTTATTCATAAAACACATAATGAATCCCATAACAAAACTGCCCAACGCCGTGTTGCCTTTTACCGTAAACTACTACTACGAGTGGCCGTTTTGCTGTGCAACGGTGCGCACTCCAGCCGGAATATAAGAAAGCGTTCAGCGTGAATTTTTAAACGGATTTCACTTCCGCTGGGTTTACGAGGAGGTATAAAAAACTCACCCCAAGTCCACCTCTACCTCAGAAAGATCAATCGTGGATAGGTCCACCTTCACCTCCGGGAGGTTCACCTTTACCATCGCGAGGTCCACCTTTACCGCCGGGAGGTCCTCCTTCAGCGCCGGGAGGTCCACCTCTACCGCCGGGAGGTCTACCTTTACCGCCAGGAGGTCCACCTCTACCGCCGGGAGGTTTNTGAATTTCTGACTTTTTAAAGGATCTCTCCCCTAAATTCTTAATTTGATCGCTTAATCAATTTGACACCGCCGTTCGACTTGTTCTGCAAGTGTTGATCCGACTTTGAAACTTTCGCTCGTATCTCTCGTGCCATGATATTTTGTTTCCTGACGGCTAAGAATTTTATTTTACTTATAACGCGACAATTTTGCTTTCGGAGGAATGCTACATTTATTTGCAAATTTTGTAATTGTAGACCCATAAACTCCCACTGTCGTCCGTCCGTATGTCTTAACCTCGAGAACGGAGTTATATGAAATCCGAGACCAGATGTGTAGAAACTTTAGGGACGGGAGGCCCCAATTAACTATATATGATCTTCCGATTTAAACCGAAAGTCACGTTTTTTTTTTTTTCAATTCAAAGCAGTTAACAGATGATTGGCACGACTCTATTGTTAACGAAAAAGTGTGATGTACAGGAGCAAGCCACTACTAACTTGAGTTATTTTGAATTAAATGATTTCAAAATATGATTAAGAATTGCGGCCAGGCATTGTGACCATGTTCTCGTAGTTATCATTTGTTTGTGAAAGCTTTGGTTTCCACTTGTGAAAATATTTACAACGAAAACTACATTTTGATATTTGTGGTGTTATGAACCAGAATATTGAAGTTAAAATCCTTCTAAGAAGTACTAAGGTGTTAATAATTGTGGAAAATGGAAGAACCGTTGCATTTGCCCGTCAAAAATAGACAAAGAAAACATGTCAGTAAGTGCAAGTGCCAGATAGCACATAGCATTAGTCTGCATGGGGTAGTGTTTTGTCCTGTACGTTGTACTTTTCCTGTACCAATAGATTCGTGTCGGTCATCTAGCTAATTCCATTCGGAGGAAAAATTTTTAATTAAGGTAATGTTACTTTCGTTCCAAACGGAAAGTTCGTATATAGTTAAGCTGGCCCTTCTGCCCTATTCTTTCCATATCTGGTCTCGACATTCATCTATCTAACTCCTTTCTCCAGTTTAAGGAAGGGACCGACAGTTGGAATTTATAGGTCTACAAGTTTTTCAAATTTTTCTATAATTAAAATATCTAAATAAGATATCAGATGATTAAGATTAGCATCTTCGATCACGTGTGGGGTTATCATAACCTGTCTAAAACGAATTACTTTTCAAATATTAACAGTAGACTAGTATTTAGTAGTTGTTGTTAAGCATCCTCCCGGAAGAGAGGATGCTTAACAACGACTACTTTTGGTCGTATTATATCTTTCCGCGACACTCCTTCTTTCTATCGGACCAGCGATATGATGGCATTCGAATAAGAAATTACGTAATATAAGATTACTGGAGAGCATAAAATGTGTTTTAAGTGATTTTCGAGGGTGCCGAGTTTAAATATTTGGTCCGTTTTCAGCGAAATCTGATTGGTTGGCGGATTACTGTTTAATGTTAACCTGTGAATGGTAGTTTCTTAGAGTTGATATTAGGAAAAAATATGACATCTGAAAAAATTTAATACATAGTTTCAATTTGTGTCTACTTGATCAATAAAATTGAACCATTTCGTACCATTCAAGTACCGCGATAAACGTGATAATGGTAGGCTGAAATATGATATGTTTTATATGGTTTTCATTTTAATGTTCGTTATAGTCTAGTATTTGATTTATTTAACTACAAAGGTTATCTTACGTAAGGATTTATCACACAGAGTGACCGATCTAACATTGTAAAAATTCTTTTTCTACTATACACAATTTTAAAAATTTTTAAAACGTGATAAACCCTTACGTAAGACAATTTTTGTGGTTATATATAAATCAAATATTATAATGTAATATAATAGAAGGGTTAAAAGTACAAAATAACTGTTAGATTATTTCGTAGTTCTAATCTTAATCTTTGGTGTTGTTATTTTTTGCTCCAGCAACGCCGGGCTCATCTGCTAGTAATTAATAGAAAATGGCAAAATGCTTAATTTTGAAAGTACCACGCACAATTTTATTTATTGCGACTAACAATGTAAAACTTAGTTTTGTAATAAAATCTCATAACAGCCAGGAAAATTACGCAACTCATTGCTAAATTTTTTATTTCTAGTTATTAGTTTATATAAAAAAGAAAATTAGTTTTCATTCAGATAAAAAAACTTTCAATCTTAAATTTCATATTTTTGATAATAAATATCATAGTCCATTTTTTGAAGCAAATTAATAAAAATATGTTTTACCGAAGGCAAACTATTCTTAGCGCACGCATTAAATAAACGAAAATATTCGACAATTTCTTTTTCTACATCCAATTCTGATTGGATGTAGAAAAAGTATCTTACTGCCCAATTGTTAATCCAATTCGCAATGTCCTTGCCAAATTCATTATGGTCATAAAGATTCTCAGTGCTCACGCGTGTAGTGAATTTAATTAATATGTGCATATATTATTGGAAATTATTGTGGAATATAAAACAGTTTAATCGACAGAAACATTATACTGATTAGTTTTAATTTTCGTTTTTATTGATCATCAAAATAAGGAGAAAATTAAGAATCTACCACGCCGTATTTTGCTTCATCTGAAATACATAAAAATATTGATTAAATATTTTAGTAGTTTCTTTTTAGTGCATATTAAAACTGAAGACTTATAAATATAATCTATATAATCTATAAATCGGAAAGTGTTGTAAATAGAAATTTATAATGTTTTCTATTCCCGAAAAAAAAATATATGTATATATATAAATAACTAATTTAAATATTATGAGGCTCTTAACAAAAATCTCAATTTTTTTTTTTTTTGAAGATATTGTGAAGCGAATCACTATTTTCTTATATCAGATGAGTGCTTCCAGTTCGCGAACAGCTGTGGTAAGCAAATTAAAAGGTTTACTTGTTAGTAGACGATGCTAAACAAACCTTTCAGTTAAACAGTTGCTTATGAAAATGATGTCGTCGTTGCTGACTTTTCTAATTAGTGAGTGTTTCCGGTTACTAATTGTTTTGCTTGCTTTTCTAGCGATAAATTTAGTTTAACAACTGGATGACTTTGCTTAATAAAATGGCTGTCTGTAGTCGATAGTTAAGAGTAATATTTGTAAGACTAATTTCATGAAAATGAGTACAAATAAAGTTTTAGAACTGACACGACATTAGAGAGGTTGCGGCCGAAGTTTTCGTCTCTCAAACGTAAACGTCAAACGTGAGTGCCGCTTACAAGATAGTGGCGCTCGACGTTCGGTGTTCACGTTTGAGAAATGAAAACTTCGGCCGCAACCTCTGTATTAACAAATCTTTGTATCTGTATTACCTCTTAGTTTAAGCTGTTTGATCAATAGCAGTTTTTTACCTTCGATTTAAGTTAAACAATGTAAAGAAGTTTTACAAAAAACATAATTAACTAGAACTAATGAACCAGGCTTATTATACTCCCAGCGAATTTAATTAACTCTTACTGGCCGTTTTCAATTGGATTACGTACATTCAGTGGCGCCCCGCAAACTATAAAAAACGGGGTACAAGCTGTAAGAAAAGGCATTGTACAGTACGTATATATATATATATATCCTTTGATTAACGCAGTTAATTAATTCCACGGTGCTACCACGTAACCACTTATATCAAAATCACATTAATCAGATACAGTGATACCTCGGTACTCGACCGAACAATCACGACCCCGCAAGAACAAAGTTTCAGTCATTAACAAATATTTTAATTTTAATTTGCTCATCAGTGAACGTTTTCCGTGATAAAAATGAGTAACTAATTTTAAAACAAAATGAAACCTTAGAGTTCGTTGGAGATTAAGAAAAAAAGCAACAGCATGACAAAGGAGAATACGTCCCCCAAGTGCTCTAATGTACAGGCACTCTGTATATAATTATAGCAATCTACAACAACAACAAGAAAACAAAAACTATGATAACTATCGTCAACATTACAATAAACATTAGATGTACAATAATTACAAAATATTTTATAATTATTGTAACCGGAAATAGTCAGTAGTTCGTATCTTTGTCGTTTCACAGAATTAAACACGAGCTATTATGAGTTAGTTGTGCCCTGGAACAACATAAAGTTGTATAAAATGAGTGAGGATACTTCGACGATCTGTCACAACTTTCGATATAGATTATTGTCTTTTGTTGGCCATTTTGTTAAGTAAAGACGACCATTCAGTTGAAAAGCGAAACCATAATGAAATTCTGCTGAATTCAAGTTAGCAAATTACTTGCTGACTGGAATTACGGTACATGAATTTTCTATGGATATTTAAACATGCAATAATAGAAGAAATTTGCGAATATTAACATATTTATATTATAAATAATGAAAATAAACTTAATTAAAGATAGGAAGTAAAAGATGCATACGTTTTCTGCTTCAATATTTTATTCTTCTCTTCCTTACTGTAATAAAAAAATGATAATTCATTACAAAAATCGTTTCACATTGAATTATTTAAACTAATATTAAAATATCTCCAATTATAAAAAGAATTGAAAATTAAATAAATCAAAATTTTTTTTCTTATCCCAGTAAATTTAAATTTTATATAGAAAATATAACATTTAATACGTAACTAATGATAAGTAATTAAGGATCGTAGTACATTCGCTATTCTTATTTTTTAATAAAATTTCGATTGTTTGCTCCATTTTATAAACGTATTAAAAATTTATTGAGAGATCGTAATTGAAATACCATATTCAACGCTGTCTAGAGAGATATTTAGCAGTCCAAGTTTAACCTAATTTGGTATTGAAACATTTCAGGAAATTCAGAAGGCATTTCCGTGAGAATAAATTAGTACCAAAACTCGTTACTATACCATTTTTGACATTACAAGCAACAAAAGGTGAATTTGTTGATGGCAGTCGATCTGCGACTTGGCTACTACGGGAATGCGCTATTTTTTGTGGCCATTTAGGAACGACGGAGAAAGAAAGGGATCACCAATCTCTGAGTGGTTCCGTTCCCTAAGTACTGGGAGTTTGGTTGTGGGTTCGCGCCTCGCCAGGACGGGCTGGCCATGTGGAGTTTTTCGGGTTGTCTCCACGTCTGTAACGCCTGAATATGGGCTAGTTACCCTTAAAAAGACCTCCCGGAAGGCATTTCCTTAGGCAGATCGCCTAAGTGTTGGGTTGCCGTAACTAAACTAACAAACAGAAAGAAAGAAAGATAACGGCGCCTGTACTATCGATAATATCGTGGTAGAAGAATCTACGATTTTAAAATATACGTTTTTAGACAGAAAAGATGAGTCTTAATTGTAAAAATTTAACCTTATCTAAATGGATTATCTTATCGACAGAACATTCAAAGTAGCCTCGAAAAAATTCGAGAAGACACTTACATACCGTGTGCACTAGGGTTTCCGATTTCCTGGTCCCGGGATTCCGAGAAAAAGTGAATTGTTTCCCGGGATATAATTAATTATTTTTAAGATACAAAATAAATCTTTAAAAATCGAATGATATAATTATTTTTCATTCTTAAGTAATTCAACGCATCTCACAACGTCCAAAATAATAATATTAATAATGCTGTGTAAAAGATGTATTAAAAATTACCTTTGAATTACGTAGACATTTTCAGAAATAGAAAAAATTTATTATTAAAAGTTGTTGGAAACTGCTTACAATAAAAATGCCTTTGAATTGAGTTGAAAATTTAAAGAAAAAAATGAACTTAGATCAAACTTTTAACTTAGAAGGTAATTTTTGGTTTTAAATAAAACATATTAAAAAAATTTACAATAATACTTTGTATTAAGATTTTAAAAAGCAAAGATAGTCAATAACACTCAATTTGATTTTTATTTTACTAAAGAAAAGTCCCGCTACCGAAAATGCCTTTTTTCGATTCAATTGATGCGGGTGGAATCGTCTAATATATTTAAGAGAAGACAGATGTTATGTTTTTTTCACTTGTATCCTGGAGGATTTCTAGTTCATTTTCGGGATGCGTTACACTACTTCTTTTGCCGTCTAGTATTCTTGATTTGTCTATTTCGACTGTTTTAATAGCGAACTTCAAGATTATCGCCCGATAATTCGGCAGTTCGTTTGGCTTTAATAATCAGGTTTATGAAGAAAAACTTCATACTTCCATAATTCGTACTCGTTTGTATCATTGCTCAATTTGTACAACCTGGCGTTACGCAGTTATTGAAGATACTGGACATGGTTAAAAATTAAAACAGCATAAGCACAATTATTCCAGATATTACAGGTTCTGACAAGTAAAGAATTTTCAGAGACTTGTCACAAATAGCTGCATATTGATTATTAAAAAATTTACTAAGAACTCCAACTAATTAAATTAATAATTTAATTTTATTAGAGATATTGTTAGTAAACAATGTTATTTTATTATTTTTCACATGATTAATTTTTGTTTTGTTTTAATTTATTTTATTTTATGTTATTCCGTTAATTATTTAATTTTTTTGAATTTATATTCTATTTTGGAATACTTTAGTTCTAATTTCGTTCACAACCTGATGATGGCCTGTGAATCAGGCTGAAAACGTTTGTTTTTATGAAATAAATACTTTCTCGGCAAGGATAAGGTGTTATTTGTATGCTATGAAAACAGTGAAGTTTTAATAAATTTGCGGGATATCCCAGGATGAGAAGAAATTCCCGAGTTAAAAAAACAGCCGGGATCCCGTTGGAGAAACCCTAGTGTGCACTTAACTTGCGCTTTCACAACCAAATTCACAAATAACTTTCACAACTTTTTATTCATAAAACACATAATGAATCCCATAACAAAACTGCCCAACGCCGTGTTGCCTTTTACCGTAAACTACTACTACGAGTGGCCGTTTTGCTGTGCAACGGTGCGCACTCCAGCCGGAATATAAGAAAGCGTTCAGCGTGAATTTTTAAACGGATTTCACTTCCGCTGGGTTTACGAGGAGGTATAAAAAACTCACCCCAAGTCCACCTCTACCTCAGAAAGATCAATCGTGGATAGGTCCACCTTCACCTCCGGGAGGTTCACCTTTACCATCGCGAGGTCCACCTTTACCGCCGGGAGGTCCTCCTTCAGCGCCGGGAGGTCCACCTCTACCGCCGGGAGGTCTACCTTTACCGCCAGGAGGTCCACCTCTACCGCCGGGAGGTTTACCTTTACCTTCGGGAGGTCCACCTTTACCGCTGGGAGGTCCATCTTCAGCCCCGGGAGGTCCATCTTCACCGCCGGGAGGTCCACCTCTACCGCCGGGAGGTCTACCTTTACCGCCAGGCGGTCCACCTCTACCGCCGGGAGGTCTACCTTTACCGCTGGGAAGTCCACCTTCAGCCCCGGGAGGTCCACCTTCACCGCCGGGAGGTCCACCTCCACCGCCGGGAGGTCTACCACTATTTTTTCCTTCGGTAACTGAAATAATTATATTAGCCTTAAGCATAATTTTATATGTTGTAGAAAATCAGTTATAACATCAAAATCCTCATTTTATAAACAGTAATATAAAATCCTATTTAAAAAATTAATTAAATTTTTTCAGTTTAATCAATATGTTTATAATCCAAATACAGTAAAAAAATTATTGTAAAATAAGTGCAAGATAAAGTACTTACTCAAGACATCAATCAATAGAATCAAACACAGACAAAGTACGAATTTCTTCATATTGAACGAAGATAGCTTCTGATCCTTCACCTATTGAAATATTTATACGCTTCAGAATTTTATAAATCCACGTTCCTCTATTTGTTTTATCTACGAAAATCCCATTTATTGGAGCTTCGCAATTAAATTATTTCATTCTGTAAACAAATTCATCCATAGATTTAACCAATGAGAGAATTTATTTGTTAAGCTGTCCGTGGGAATAACTGAATACTACGAGGGCGATTTTTTCAAGTTCCGATGATCCATAAAACAAAGACAAGTGTAAATAATAAAATCAATTTATTACCGAAAGTTAGGTATACTTATGGTTAATTTCGACATAATCACCGTGAAGATTGAGGCTGTGGACGAGCTTTTCCATCCCCTTGTCGTAGAATGTTACCGCCAGTAAATTGAGATGGCCTTAACAACGTTGTTTTGAAGATCGTCATTAGTTCACTAGTCTCAAACCTCTGCCCTGCTAGCCACGTTTTCAATTCAAGAAAGAGATGGAAGTCTTCACGCATTAAAAAATTTTAAACTGGATGGTAGTCTTCACCATCTTTAAACATCCAGCGTATAGTTCCGGGCGTCTTCACACCTATTTCCTGAACAGGAAAAGTGGCTAGGAGGCCAGAGGTTTGAGACTAAAGCCGGATGCACACATGCGGCGCGGCAAGGAAAAGCGGTGACGCAAACGCATCTTTGCCGCGCGGCAGCACAACCACACAAGCGGCAATCCGCTTACATTTCGGCGCATGCGTTCAGTATTCAAGATGGCGAACGATATCCACGTGTTTACACACTGTCCCTATTCACGTGTTTACAAATTTTGTTTTGTACGGCTCGCTTTATTTAGCTAAAAGATTTTGTCGAAGATTTTAATTAGTAATATTTTTTTGGATCGAAAAAGAACTGGTATACAAAATAGACTTATTTGTGGATCAAGATCTCTCGATAAAGAATACTATTTCGAGTAAGATTCAGTTGTTTTGTTCTTTGAATTAAATTATATATGATTATTTGTGTAGAATTTGCTTTAAATTTGTTATCCTTTTCTCTTTATTCTGATTTTAGTTATCTCGGTTAACCGCCTCGAACTTTCCGCCATTAAAACACCACGTGATTGTATTTTCTCACGTGACTACGAGACAAACTGTTATTGGCTGATAGAAACGCGTCTTAGCGGCGGTTGCCGCAAAAAATAGAATTCAACCAACTTTTGTGGCACGAGAAAAGCGGCACAAAATCGACTTCTGCGGCGAGAAAAAGTGACGTCATTCTGCCGCTTTTCCTTGCCGCGCCGCATGTGTGCATCCGGCTTAATGACGATCTTCAAAAAACGTTAAGGCCCATCTCTAGTCATTGATGGCAACATTCTATGGCATGGGGATGGAAAAGGTAGTCCACAGATATGACAAATGCCTCAATCTTCACAGTGATTATGTCGAGACATAACCACGTTTGTACCTAACTTTTGGTAATAAATTCATTTTGTTATTTACACTTGTTTTTTTATGAACCATCGTAGTTTGAAAAAAAAACAGCCTGCGTAATTACGTATTCTGCACGTTTTAATACAGCCGAAATCTATAGAAAACGAATAAATTGATTAATATATTAAGAATTCTTTACAAACGCGATAAATGTAGTTCACAATTGTCTGCGTATGTTTATGCAATGAAACCTGTCTAAAGCGAACCTTCTATAAAACAAAAACCTAAACGGTAAATAAATCTCTGAACGAAAAGATTTCAGGTGTAAAACGCCATTATAAATCGGATACCTGTCTAATGTGGTAATGGAAGACGTTTTGGAAATTAATAACATAACTTGAGTAAAGCGGAATGCTTCCCCGTAACAGCAAGTGATTTGTAAATGATAAAATCCATATTACTGTTTGTGACATCATCACAATACCGGGCTGCAATTTTTAATCATATTTTTAATTAATTAAATTTTATGTCCTCGGCCTGAAATTAGTAGTTTTGTCCATGCCCCTATACGTCATACTTTTGCTGTTAGAAACAGTCATGGCAGTCATTTATCTAACTTCTTTTCAGAGGGGAATATTTGAATTGAAATAACGTGACTTCCGTTTTGTATCAGAAATTCTTATATAGTTAATCGAGGCAACCTGCTTTTACTCTATGTAATCTTTCTCTATCTGGTCTTCACTTTCATCTACCTAACTCCTACTGGAGATTACGGAAAGACAGACTGACGGACGACAATTTTTAATTATGACATTTAGCGCCTAGAACACGTGTATTTTTTTTTATCACAAACATACCATTACTAATAGAACATACCAATGTTCTATTTTAAAATTTTGCCGCTAAAGATAAAATTTTTATATAGCATCGGACTATAATATTTTTTAATTTACCAAATTATGGCCTATGACTAGTCATAGGCTATTCGGAGAAATCCATTGGCAACCAAATTTTAACAAACGTTCGAAAAAGCAGGTCCAAATAGCTGTTACAGTATCTTGATCACGCAACAAGCTGCCTGGTGCGTGACGAAGATACTGTAATTGACATACGTACTGTACAACCTTGCACGCAGTCACATGACGGGATATTTATTTTTTGTCGCGCAGGTTTCCTGCGCTTCATAGAAAGTTTGATTAGTTTATTCGATTGATAAATGTTAATTATTTTATTTAAATTTAAAATTTCGGATAGCATAAAAATACTGTATCAAAACCTTATTCGAATTAACCAGTTTGATTTAACGTGTAAATCCGTATGCTGGAACGATCGAGAAAAGAAAATGACTTCTCAATGACTTCAAAAGTTGAAAATTTTCAACTTTTGCCGCGACGGAAAGCGGCACGGTAAAAATTAGACCAATAGGAGGACCGTTTAGCGATGTCGTCATAAAGATCACGTGGGACGATAGCGTTCGAACTATGGCGGTCGGCAAGCTAAAAAGCTTTATTTGTACACTAATACGCTAATATATTTCATTTATACGCTATATTACTATCCGATTTAAATATTAATGTCAAATAGACTTACTGCGTAAAGTATTGAGAATGGAGTAAGCGTAATTCGGCGACTAAGGTATTCGATATTCCTAACTTTCGACGATTTAGAATATTTTTCCTATCCAAATTATTCGTTTTTCAGGTTTTTTTATTTGCAATAAGATCGAAGGCAAACTTAAAAAGTTTAATTGATATAACAAAGCAATCCCGGTAGACGCCATTTTCGACTACTGGCACGTGGCCTACCTACTGTAGTAGCTTGTTTATATTTACGGCTGGCAGATGGCGCGTTTCAATTGTAGGGTAATTTCCGCATGTGAGTACAC